AAAAGGTATAGTTCAGAGGGAAATATGTATTTAAGCCTTATTAAAACAACTAATTAAATAAAAATCATTTTTGGTCAGATTAAAATTTAATTCAATCTAGACTAAAAATTATTTTTTAATTAATATGGGATAAGTACAAAACAATATTTGTTCAAAGATAATTCTTAATCATTTGACATTGATCGCTTATACTCCTTATATTTTTAGTGCTCGAATCTAGGACCTCAAAAAATAATCACAATTTCTTTTCACTGAAATCACTTGGTTTGTGCTCCAACTAAAAATTAAAATTTGACTTAATGTCTTTCTTTAAAAAAATATCATAAATTTAACTAGAAATTTAAACTTGTTTCTATTTGCAATTTATTCAATCATTATTATCTGAATATAAATTTAAATTAAATATTATTTTATTAAATATCTAAATCTTGAAAATATATACAACGGTGATTAAAGGAATCATTATTGTTCATAGATGTCATAAGTTCGAGCACCAGCGACTGTAGAGTAATTGAGCGTTCATTATCAAATGGTTGAGAATATTTAGAACATATACTACTTTGTAATCACTTTAGCTTAATAAAAAATATTAAATCATATGTCAAATTCTAAATATGCATAAATTTAAATATTAATCTACTAAAAATTAGATAATTAAAACTCAAATCTTTTTTAAAAATAAATAAATTCAGTATTTTCTAATCTAAAATCGAATAATAAATATAATTTAACCCTTACACTTCAAAATGAATTTAGGGTAAATTACACGTTTAGTATTCAATCATCATTTTTTTCCGTTTTGATTATCCAACTATTTTTTAAAATTATACATAACATTTAATTTGTAAATTACACATTTAGTACCAAAATTATCAGTTTTGGTCTATTTTAGTACCTTAACTTTTATTTTTTTTCAAAATCATACTTAATGTGTTGAGTCAATCAAGAGGATGAAATAGCTAAGAGGGGGTGAATTGGCAATTAAAAATTTTGTCAGAAGTTTGAAAGAAAAATAGGAAATTGAACACAAGAATTTTAGAGTGGTTCGACCTTTTAAATCAAAGTCTACATACACTACCTTAGCTATCCACACTAAGGATTTTCACAAATTCACTAATTTATGTCAATCTTTGAGGACAAGGTGTAACCTTACTGTCGACACTCATTTTTGTCCCGATATTTTTTTTATTATTATCACTAATTATATTTATTTATTATTATTGTTTTTTTTTCAGGCTTTACAAACCCAAATCGGGCCCAATTACAACTCAAGACTCGGGCCCAATTACAACAAAACCCAAATGGGACCCAATTACAACTCTAGGCCCAATAGGTACAATTTAAACCCAAGCCCAACTAAACTAAAAACTAAGTTTGAAACCCTAGGGTTTTTAATCTTCTGCCACCGCCGCTCTCACCCGCGTCGTCACTGCTACTGCCACTCACTACTAGAAAGCCGAGCCAAGCCTCCAATTGTGCTGATCAAGCCGTCCCTATTCAATCACCAATAAACCAAATTAATAAAACATCAGGAAAGAAGAGAAGAGAAGAGAAAGAAACTGATCCCGAAAAATTTGAGATCTTCACCAATTGTGTGAGGCAACCATCACTCATCTACTATAAACTCGCCAAACACGTAAGAGGGAGTTAAAGAGGCAAAAAAAATCAGACCTGAGAGAATTTTTTGAACCGAAGAGAAAAAAAACAGAGGGGGATTCGGTTTTATTTAAAAAGTAAAAGAGAGAGAAAAAATCGAGAAGAAAACATAGATTTTTCGAAAAATCGGAGGGGAGGGAAAAAAAGAAAAACAATAGAACAATCTAGAAAAAAGAAAAAAACAGAAGGAAAAAAGGAAAAATAATAGAGAAAATAATACATTTTCTTCGAACTAGAGGTCGTAAACTTCACCGGGGCCTCAATGTTGAAGGTAATCTTTACTTTAGGGATCAGAGTTTAGAACCTAGGTTTGGTGGGGTCGTTTTGTTTGATTTTGGTTGATTTGGGTCTAGGTTTTGAGTTAGGGAGGTTATTGGGTTCAAAGGGGTGGTGTTGAATGTATCACCGACCCCTCATCGGGGTAGTGTAGGGTGGTGGCCATGGTGGTTTGTGGCCACCAATTTTTAAAAAAAATGAGAAACGAAAAAGAAAAAAATTAGAGAAAATTGAGGGGAGAAGAGAACGACCGGAAAAAAAAAGAATAAAAAGGGTCTCGACCAAAGGGGATAAAAGGGATATTTAAACCCCCAAAACGATGTCGTTTTGGCCTAGGGCAACTCGAGTTTTTCATCTTTTAGGGGCTACTAGCAGTTTCAGTCCCTCTAGCTTTGTAACCTTACCTTTGGCCATTAAATGAAGTGTTATATAATGTTGTTTCGAGCTCATTATTTACGCAATATTTGTTTTAGTCATCAAATGAAATTTTCTTGTTCGTATTCCAAGTTTTAATTTCTGATATGGTTATGATTTAGTCCCTAGTTTATTTTTATTTTATTATTTTCTCAATATTTTCGATCTGGACAGCTAACTAATGAAATGTTCATTTTAATCATTGTTTAGGTTATTTTATTTATGAGATAAATCCTTCTATGTTTGCTTATTTACAATTCAGTTCTTATTTTGATTTTGTCAATTTTGCATTTCTATCCATATATTTATAGTGCACTTCATTTTAGTCATTTTGGCTTATTTGTTATGTTTTTGGTCCTTCCTACATTTAGCATCCTATTTTAATTTTCTTTGTTTAGGTCATGTATATTGTTGACTTGTGGTTGATTCAATACTCCTTATGTATAATATGTGATTGTGGTCCTTCATGTTTGCTAATATATATAAAATTGTGTATTTATGTTTTGAATATTATGTTTAATCCCTAAAGTCACCATATTTATTAGTTTGATCCATCATTTACATATTTGTTAATTTCCTGTTAGTTGTAAAATTTTCAAATATTATTTTGTATGGGAAATCTATGGAAACATGCCTTAATTGAGGAGGATCATGTTCCTAATGATTGTTCATACAAAGTAACACCTTTTTATATTCGAGTTTTTTTAATTATTGTATACATATAATTTATTAAAAATTAGAGCAATATTATTTTGAATGGGGAATCCATGGAAATGCCCTCTTAACTGACAAAGAATGTATTTTCGAGAATTGTTTGTGCAAAATAATACCCCTTATATTTTTTTCTAAAAAAGGATCATAATTTAAATGTATATTCGAATTTGCAAACTTCAATATTTAGATGACGTATAATCTCTTAGGTACTGATTTTGGGAGTTCTGGGGTGTTAATCCTTCCCCACACGTAATCGACTCTTGAACCCTTTTTCAAAACAAATTTCTGGTTAAACGCATACCACTTTTTATCTTTTAAAATTATTTTTATTAAAATTATTTTAAGGATATTTTTTAGGTATTCGGCCTACCTAACCCAAATGTCGATGTCGATTCCAAATTTTTTTATTTATGCATTTATTTTAAAACCTAACCTTTTCCAAGATTAAGTTGGATCGCTCCCCGTCATAACCCCAAAAAGCTTAAAGACTGTTCCGACACTTGCAACTCCCTCAAGAATTATACTCCAAATTCTTGAGAACACTCTCTCAAATATAATATTAAAAATTTGCAACTTTGAAAAACCTCTAAAGGAAATTGTTTGCACAATTCAAGAACAAATAAGAACACTAAGAACAAATAAGAACAAAAGAATATTCAAGAATGTTTGACTTGATTTTGGCTCAATGTGATTGCTTTGGATTTCTTTTTGGTTTATTATCTTCACATATGGCTTGATCTTGTTTTTATACCATCTCATTCAATTATAGTAGTTTGGGTTGTTGTGAGAGTTAATAGAGCCATTGGGATGAAGTTTTCTGTAATAAATGATGCCCAGACGCCTTGAGTATCGATATTAGGGCTTGGAGTATCGGTACTGCCTGCATTAATTACAAAAATTAACCGTTGGTGAGAGAGGAGTATTGGTACTCTAATGTGACTATCGATATTGGTATCAATACTCTGAGAGTATCGGTATGAAAATGGTATATTGGAATCCGTTTTTGTCAAAACCACAAAGGGAGTATCAGTACTCCTATACAAAGTATCGATACTGCATGAACAATATCGATATTGTTCTTGTAGTGTTGGTACTGCAGGGTTTAAAATCGATTTTAACTTGATTAAAATTAGAAACCCTTGTAAAATTGTTTAAAAATTATTTCCAGTATATGACTTTAATTTTCGAAAAGAGTATGGAGTAAAAATGGAGTTTTTGACCTTAATAAGAATTTCAATATTCAAACAATTTAATCGAATATAAACTTAAAAATTGAATTAAAAAAATCTTAAATTTCTTTAAAAATATTCATTTTTTATATATCAAAATCCAAAGCATGATTCAACATAACGTTTAGCTTTTGTTTCATTTTAATACCCGTTAAAAATTTAACGTTAGGTTTTGAAACAAATTGAAAGTTTAGGTACTAAAACGGATCAAAATTGATAGTTTAGGTACTAAAAGTGTTAAGTTTTTAACGATACAGTACTAAAATGAAACAAAAACTAAACTTTAGCTATAATTTTAAAAAATTAAAAGTTTAAGTACTAAAGCAGATAGAATGATAATTTATGTCCTAAACATGTAATTTACCCAAAAGCTAATGGTTATGTCAGCATAAGTTAATATCACGTCATTGTTAAAAAAATAAAAAAAATATATATCAATTTTATTATTGACGATGTACGTACTATACAAATGCAGCTACTCTAATCCAAAATTTTTAGATAAAATAATATTTTCTCTATTAAACTACTTGATAATTTCTTAAAAATACTATTTCTTTTTAACAAACTACATAACGTTTCAATTTAATTTAATCAAAATGATGAGAAATAATTTAAAAGTCGAAACATATGAAATGCAAAAACTATCCACACTAAACACACACACTCTCTGTATTTATTTATTTATTTTTGGGTGGGTTGAATGTGAATTAAATTCCTAGCTATACACTAAGTGAACATATTCAACAGTGGTTCCAAAGAGGTATGAAATCATCGGCGGCATTGTATTCTTGTTCATCCCCGTTATACCCACACCGAGGAGGTGACATCATCATCCCCGCCGCCATGTTTGCCAGAAAGCTTTGCGTTCCAAAAACCTCCTCCTCGTCCAAATAATACTCATTCTCCGACACCGTCATCTCCACCCCCTCTTTCTTTTCATTACTCCTTGCATTATCTCCGGAGTTTTCATCCCAATGCTCAGTCGATCGAAACGCCTCCGTCGCCGCCTTCTGGATATCCTTTGGATCGGTAGAAGCTGGAACCGGAAGCGTCCAAGCTGAGTCGGCGAAGTTCAGGCAAGCCGACCTTCCTCTCAGAGCTATGGCAGCCACGTTGTGGGCACGAGCAGCCATCTCCGGCGTTGGAAAAGTGCCCAGCCAAATCCTCGACTTCTTACTAGGCTCCCTCACTTCACAAACCCACTTGCCAGAGTTCTTCCGGCGGACTCCACGGTACACCGGATGCCGAGTCTCGCGAAATTTCTTCCTCCCCGCTCGCTTCTTTGGACAACTCGAAGCTAACATCACTTCTTCATCAGAGAAATTAACCGGTCGAATAGTTCCAGTCCCGGAATTCGATAACGGCGACGACACCGACCCAGAATCAACCACGTCGTAATCTAGAGCAAAAAATCCCATTTGTTGCAGATGTGGGAGCTCGAGAGTGAAGTTACTGAGTAAAGGCCAAAGGGAAGCTTTTTCAAGGGAATAACACAATGAGTTTGGGGTTTATGTATATATCAAGGTTTTTAACTGAGAAAAAATCCCATTTGTTGCAGATGTGGGAGCTCGAGAGTGAAGTTACTGAGTAAAGGCCAAAGGGAAGCTTTTTCAAGGGAATAACACAATCAGTTTCCAGATTCGCAACGCGATTCTGACTATCGCATTGTGATTTTCCAAATTCGCGTTGCGATTTTCCGACTATCGCAATGCGAATATGTAAATCGCAATGCGATTATGACTATCGCAATGCGATTATGACTATCGCAACGCGATTCTGACTGTCGCAACACTGAATTTCAAATTCGCAACAGGTTTTAGTTTCGCAATACAAATGTTTTGGGTATATAACTACGCAGCAGAAGCAACTCATAACCTAAATCCCTAAATCGCAACTCATTCCATCTCCATCTATCACTCTCTCTGGCGACATCTGTTCCTATATCCAACGACATCCTTCCCCATCGGGCAACAGGTTTTAGTTTCGCAGCTCGTTTGTTTAGTAAATTAATTTACAATAATGAAATCATCTAATGTTGATCATGTTTGGATAGATTTGTGTTTTGGAGGGTCATGGGAGAATGTTCATGGTGTTTTACAATATATGCCTTTACCCATGAATCTTCAACTAAAACTGTCATTAAAAAAGTTAACTTATGAAACTCTAATGTTACGTGTTGTAAATAAATTGAATTTAGAGCCCTTAAGTGGATTTAGGCTATCTTATCAGAGAAAAGGTAAAGTTTATTTGTTAACCGACAATGAAGATGTTGAACGATTCATTGCTTACATTAGTGTTTCGCAAGATGATGTTACATTGTATGTTGTTGAACCTAGAAGTAGTGAAGTTGGGTCAGTAGCGGGTAGTAATCAACTAAGTTTTTCAACCCCAGTTTATGGTGCTCAAAATTTAATGGTTCCACCACAATTTCATCACCAAGCAAATTTTGTTTCACCACATTTCCAATACCAAACACAATCTCAAAACCCACAACCTTTCCCTAATCCAAATCCCAATCAACTTTCAAAACCAAATTACGGTTTTCGTATTAACCAGTTAGACGATGATGAGCCAACAGAAAAAATTGTGAGTACTAGTCGGTATTCGAAATTTGATCCTGGTCAATACCCGGACTTTGATCTTGGTCAATAATCGGATTTTGATGATGTTTCAGAAGAAGAAATAGACCCTGCGTGTAATGATTTTGATATTGATCAATACCCGAATTTTGATGATGAAACAGCCGCTGCCAAGGAAGATGGTGTTGATGATAATGAGGAGGAAGTTACGACTGTGAATGAACATGTTGAACATCTATTCTGTAATTCATATAACCCTGAAGAAGAAAAAGAAGAAGAAGAAAAATAAGAAGAAGAAATCCCCGAAGAAAAGTCCCCGAAGAAAATGCCACGGGAGTATAACTGGAATATGGCAGAATTACTTCAGATACCGGAAGAAGAGTTGGTAAAAATAGCAGTTGATTGTTACACAAAAATTATTCGTATCAAGAAAGATGATTGTTTTGATACAAAGGAAGACTTAAAGATAGCTTTGTATACGAAATATGTGGAAGATGGCTATCAACTAAAAGTTAACAAATCAAACAAAGATCGTTTCGAAACAAGGTGTATGATTGACAAAAACTGTACGTGGCGTATGATTGCAAAGAGGATAAAAGATTGCGAAATGTTTCAAGTTAGGACTTTTATTGATAAGCATACATGTTCAAGAACCCAAGTTTTTCCTCACCATAGACAGGCAAACAAAAAGGTATTGGGTGGTTTTCTGGCTGAGTTAATGTTTTTGAATGGCAGAGTATATCGGGGACATGAAATTATGACTGACATGAATGCTCGGTTCAAGATTAGTATCTCATATTCTCAAGCTTGGAGAGCCAAATGTTATGCCTTGGAATTGTTGAGGGGGTCGCCAGAAGAATCGTTTGCCCAACTGCCGGCTTATTGTCACAATTCAAAGCTGAAAAATCCTGGGTCGGTAACTCATATCAAAACATATAGAGATGGACGCTTTGAGTTGTTGTTTATCGCCATTGGTGCTGCGGTTAGTAAATCAATATAATTTTGTTGACTCATTTTTGTTAGTTACATGCATTTCACATTTAAATGATTATATTTCTTGTGTATATGATTTTGTAGATTCATTCGTTTATTACTTGCATGCGCTCAGTTATTATAGTTGATGGAGCACATTTAAAAGGTCGATACCTTGGAGTAAACTTATTAGCAGTAGTCATGGATGCTAACAATGGGATACTGCCAATAGCTTACGGGGTTGGCAAATCTGAAACGTCTGATTCATGGACATGGTTTATGGGGCATCTTAGGGATTTCATAGGTCCTATTAGCAATCTGACAATCATATCCGATAGGGCAAACTCAATTGACAACGTTGTTAGAAGGTGTTTCCCAGATGCTTTTCATGGACTTTGTGGTGTTCATTTATATAGAAATCTAAAATCAAGGTCTGCTGGTATAAAAAATCACAAATAGACATACTGGAAGGCTGTAAAAGCTTATCGGGAAGTGGATTTTAATAAGCATATAAATTGTTTAAGACGTGTTTTGCCTCAGTGTGCTCAAACACTAGAAGATGTCGGGTTTGAAAGATGGTCAAGAGTACATCAACTTGGAGCAAGATATGGTTTCATGACGTCTAATAGTGCAGAATCAATCAACGTTCTAAGTCGTCATTCCCGGAAATTACCCATTACTATGTTAATGGAGTTTTTTCGAGCCTCTATTCAACAGTGGTACTACAAGAAAAGAAACCATGCAGGTATTATTTCTTTAAATTCGTAACTTATCATATATTTTACTAAGTATTATTTATTTAAATTTACAGGAACATTGGAACATCGTGTTACACCATGGACTGAAAAAAAGATAACGAAACGTGTTGTGAAGTCAACGTCATGGAGAGTTGAACCATGTTCAAACACTTTGTTTGAAGTACTGGATAATAACTTAAATGGGCTTGTCGATCTAAATGCAAAGACGTGTAGTTGTATGAAATGGTAAACATCTGGTTATCCGTGTGGGCATGTTATAAAAGTTTCTCTTCATCTAAACCAAGATGATTCAAGCGCATACGCTATGGATTGCTACACTACAGAAGTATATCGACAGACTTATGCCGAGATTATCTACCCTATTCCACATCCTTCTGAGTGGGACATGCCAGATGACTTACAAATAGTTTTGCCACCAGCCATGGACAGAAGGCTACCTAGCCGACCAAAAAGTCACGATCGTATACCGTCTAAGGGTGAAGAGAAGAAGAGATCGACATGTAGTCGGTGCAAGGAAAGTGGTCATACAAGGTTGACATGTGGATCACCAGTGCCATCACAATCATCTTTTACTCTACCAAAATATGGATCCTCATCAAAATCCAAAGCTCATATGGTGTCAAGAAAAAGGCAATCAAAATCGCAATCAAAATCAAAATCCCAATCACAACCGGCTTCACCTTTTGGGACTATTAACTTAGGTGATTTTTAAATGCAAACGTTGTATTATGTGTAAACTTTTAACATTTTTAGTTAGGCATGTATTAGTAACTTGAGTTTGAACATTACTATGATCTGTTCAGTTGTTATCACTTATTACACATTCATTTGAATATCGCAACGCGAATTTGACTATTATGTGTATTTTATGTGTAAACTTTTAACATTTTCAGTTAGGCATGTATTAGTAACTTCAGTTTGAACATTGCTATGATATGTTCAGTTGTTATCACTTATTACACATTCATTTGAATATCGCAACGCAAATTTGACTATCACAATGCGAATTTGATTATCGCAACTCAAAAATCGCACGCGAATTTGACTATCGCAACGCGAATTTGATTATTGCAACGTCTATTTGACTATCGCAACGAGAAAATCGCAACGCGAATTTGATTATTGCAACGTCTATTTGACTATCGCAACGAGAAAATCGCAACGCGAATTTGACTATCGCAATGTGAATTTGAGTATCGCAATGCGAATTTGATTATCGCAACGGGTATTTGACTATCGCAACGAGAAAATCGCAAAGCGTATTAGATTATCGCAACGCGAATTGGCTTTCGCGTTGCGATTTTGTCTTTTGCATTGCGATTTTGAGTTTAGCGTTGCGAAAATGTACCTCCAACAGGTCTTTTGCCTTCAATATGATGCAGATTGAAATCAACAAATCAACTTTTACATTTCAATTAATTAAACAAGCACAAATAAGAATTTTTTACACATCAATATTAAACAAATCAACTTTTACAAATCAATTTTTATAAATCAATTAAACATGCAAAAAATGATAATAATTCTTATTTTCCTCATCAATTAAACAAATCAGACTTTTAAGAATCAATTAAACAATCAAAAAAAGTGTACCCCAGACAATTGTTTATGCACCCATACATCAATTTCACGCAGCTCACTTCAGGATTAACCTGCAGAAACCAAACATTTTCTCAAATAACACTTTCTACACATCTAAAACCAACAACAACAAATTATTATTGAATTCTAGGTACTTAACAAAACTTGCATTTGACTTACAAATTATTTATGGACACTTTCATAACGCGGATGCAGGTAGGCAGCGTCTCGAATATATCGCTCTAGCCATAAAATACCGAAACCACAAGCCTACTGCACCTCTATCTCTATCGGTGGGAGGTAGAAACTGTGTACTTCCTGTCGTCAAACGCTCCAAGCACATGCATACGAGAGGACCACAATCCCCTCTGGCTTCCGGCGTTTATTGTGGCGCGATCTCGTCTCTGATAACTGTAACATTGAACTTCTTTGGCTTCTTGTTTCCAAAATAAGTCCAATAATTAATCGCATCCAAGAATTTAGCCAAATGAGAGCTTCATCCCTTAATAATATCTCTCAAATCAGACA